AACTGGTACTTTTCCAATATTCTGCAAATTTTTAAATTAGCTTTAACTGCAATTTTGACCTTTCACCTTAGTTAATTTGGTAGAAAGCATCACTATGTGAGTTTTATTTTGGCAAAAAATACTTTGTAATTGACGTATTTTTTTAGCTTTTAATAAATTATTATACGAACTTACTTTTACATTATAAATAACTGTCCCTTTGATTAGCTTCATGTTAGAATCATCTATGTTCTCAACTTTTGTAACTATTGCATCGTACGTTGGCTTCACTGTCAAATTCCAATTAATTACATTTTCAGTGGTAAGTGATACAGCTCTTACATTTACTACATATGCTTCAGCACGTCCGATGGGCTGTGCCCAGAATACCATGCCATTTGGGTAAACTACCATTCCATGAGCATCTGTTTCCACGGTAAATATCGTATTGTCTTGCTGATATAGTTACTAATTCAGTTTGACAAAAGTAAGACTTTCATGACAATGGTTAGTTTTCAACAGCTTTTTAATTGTGCACAAGTATAGTTATAGTTATACCTGTGAAGGCAGTTTGACAGTATATGGTTCTCCTTCTACAGCCTCAAGCAATTTTTCATTGTTCAGAGTTTCACTATGAACTTTTGAAATATTTCTTGTCTGAAAGTAGAATTCAAAACAAAGTAATTTCGTTAAAAAAGCTCAAACAACTTTATAGGTCTTTTAATTTATTAAAAATTTTTGAAATCCTGTTCGCCTATGAAAAACTATTAGAAAAGAACTTCTACTTCAAATTTCTATATATTTTATTGAGTAAGGAGCAAAAACTTATTGTTTAAAGATTTTTTATGTAAAATAAAAGTGGCTCCGAAATTGTTTACCAAATGATACTCTTTGACTTTTACTAATCAGTGATCTCAAATACTGTTGATCAAATTTTTGTATCTTAATACAGAATCAAAAGGCCATGATCATCAAAACATCTCACAAATTAGAAATTTGTATGTATCAGGCAGAGATGTAGGATAGTCACCTGTTCACAGTTCAATCCATCCCGATCAGCAGGACAAATGCAAGTTCCGCCAACACAGTAACCTTTGCAATTCACTTGTTGGCATTCATTGTAAAATGTGAAATGAATCTGTAGTTAATGATATTTTTGTGCAGAGATAAAGTCTCTTGAATTCAATTCTCAATTAATTTTAGTTCAAACTGTTACACTGATTTCTCATAAACGTATCAGAATATACTGCATGTTCACATTTAAACACACCAAACGTCTATCCAAGAAGGGTATAGCCATATTTGAGCCATAAGGCACAAGATTGAACAAATAACGTCCAGGTAAAACTGATGTAGGAGTTGTGCATCGAATCAGTGAAGATGAAATAAAAAATCCATCAGATGCTGTACTTCCATATAAACATGTATAACGTTTTGATGGTACGCTGAAATGAGGCATTAGTTAAAAAATCATTTATGTACAAAAAGATACAGTTCTGCTAGGATCGCAGTAATTACAAGGAAATGTTTCCAAAAATGACAATTTCAAATTTTGTGACAATCAAAGCGATATTATTTGTAAACCAAGCAATATTTTATTAATAAAATAAAAAGTAAATCAATAGATCATCAATTTAGTAAATAATGAAAACTTTAAAGTTCTTTTTATGCCAAAAAATATTTATAATATAATTGATAGTAAACATAATTTTGCAATTTGGTAAGACCAGAAAATTTTTAATTTTAAAAATTGACACATTTTAGTTGTAAATTAAAAATTCCAAAGCCAGAATTCACGCTAACTGAGGTAAATCGTTGCCGTAGACCAAAATACTTTGATTTTTTTGATGGATTCCAGCAGCTGTAGGTTGAACATATAAAACTGCCGAGACTGAATCACACTTTCCACTAGCACAAATATTGCAGCTCATACCAATCCATCCATTCCGACAAACACAAGTTCTGCATAATTTAAGATTCTGTTATTTAGTGATATTTTGTTCAATATTTGATTTTAGGCAGTGCATTGAAACATGACCGCTTTGTATGGAGCATGACATCTCAAAAAACAAAAGTAATCACGATTTAGTCTACGTTTAAATCTGAAAATAATAAATTTAATTTATTTTAAGATTGAAGATAAGAATCTAACTTAATTTTGAATACCGACAACTTTTGAAGGTTTTGGAGCAGTTATTAGTAATAAAATTTACATAAAATATATTCAAAGTATTGAATTGTGGCTAGATTCTAGAATAACCTATTCTACAATAATTAAAAGGTCATTTTGTACACAGTTGTTTCTTCATGTTGTATAATCCAAATAAGAACATGAAGATGATTAATTTTAGTTACCAACTTTGTATTGGGATTACAGCGGCCGTGTACACAAACAACATTACAAGAATGACAGTGGGGACCAAGACATATTGAGCAGTCATCTCCTTTGTATCCATGAAAACACTCGCAGACTTGAGGTCGAATACAATTTCCTGATCCTGAACAGTCATTTAACTCGTCACATAGAGCACTCGAACAAAACGGATCAGTCCATCCGGATTCGCAGATGCACTGACCTCCAACGCATAATCCATGGTTGTTGCAGCCTCTCCAAGTACAATTGTCAACTCTTTTGCTACAGTCAGCACCTAAAATTTGTTCATAAAATTAGATTAAAAGTTAAACAATTTTGGTAATGTACAAAAGTACTCATTGTAAAAAATAAGTGCATTATTTATTTACTTGCTATTATTATCAGTTTTTATACTATTACAGTTGTTTTTGCAAAATTTTTGTCATAAGTTTCACAATTCGAAGACAATAGAGGAAATTTTACTGAGAAACCAACGAGCTTAATTTCAAGCTTTCAAATATCCAAATACTGCATACACATAATTTGCAAAGATAATTAATAATAATCATTGTTAGTTTATCATCTGTTATTATTACTGATTAACTCTACATAATGAGTACTGATTAACTCTACATAATGAGTACTTTAAACTAATTTAAGTGGTCAGTCAAGGAAATAACTAATCTTCAAACAGATGCTCGCATTCGCATTCATTCAGTGATATACATGCGCCATGACCACTACAATTATTAAGAAGATGACATGTGGGCGTAGAACAGTCTTCCTTCTGCCACCCTTCAAAACATTTACATAAATTTGGTCCCACACAGTAACCATTCATCGAGCAATTCTGTAATTCTATACAGGTACTTTGAGAACAATCGAGTCCTGAATATCCACTATTACAGTGACAGTCATTGAGACCTAAAATATCACATGATGTAATAAACATTGTAATTTTATTAAATTTGTGACATATTCTTTAAAAAACTTTTATTGGAAAAGCTAAAAGCATAATTTTTTTGAATTTTATCAAATTTAGCTAGAATTATATTTCAACAATATTTATTTTTCTTGTTTGAAGCTGTAAAATTAAAAGTAATAACTACACGTGAGCCGAAAATTAGATATATTATGAGAGAATAGAAAGTTTGCAAACAGTAATTGAAGAAACTTCTGCTTAATATGAAAATAATAAATTATGCTAATTAACGTTTATTTCACTAATAATGAAATAAATTTAGCGCAAGATAAACAGAAAATATTTGACCTATGCACTGTCCATGATTAGAGCAATTAGAAACTGCCAGGCAATCATCCTCAGCAGCTCGTTTCCGACTAATTGCTGATAAATGTGCTATAATTCTTTTAGTATATTTGGGAGTAATAAATGTAATTTGATGCTTTTTCATTCAGAATTACAAATTAAAAAACTTCCAAATGCTTTTCACAGCCTCAACTACAACTGCAACTTCTTATGAGCAAATTATGAGTAATTAATTATATATTGTATAAAAAGTTGCTTTAGAGGATAAAACTTACTAAACGTTTTTTATTTTTTAGACTAATTCAAGAATCATCAATTTTTAACCTTCTGATTGATTCCATTTATCACTGAAAGCAAAATTTGCCACATTTTGCATGTCGTCATCTTTCCAGTAATTATCATCCATATCAGTTAACTTCAATACAAAAGTCAAATTGTAATCAAGCTTACATTTCAATGTACTTTTTATTACAATTACAGTTTTATTGACGGTGCAAAGAGAAATTAAAGTCAACTATTCTAAAAGCATAATTAAAAAATAAGCATGTTGCAAGTTTTTCTGAGACATTTTCAGTTTGCATGAATCCAAGATTTGCAAGTAGTAAATTTCTGTAATCATTACTGAAATTTAATTACAATATTAAGGGATTTATTTATTTATTTTATTAGATTTTCGAAAGTCTAATGTTGATAGATCAATTATTTTAGCATAAAACATGGTTACTATTTAACTTGTATAACTTTTTAACGTTAATATTTTTGCAAATCTAAACCAAAATATGAAAATTCTAATCATACTTAATTAAGACTCACATCATCTTCAAGAGGATCAATGTGGAAATCAAACTGGTCAAAGAACATTCTATCATCAAATTGGTTTGCATGTACGTGCAATTGAGAACTCTTGACGATTAGTGGAGATTCTCGAGAATTCTGATTTCCGTTAAAACGGTTGTAATAAATAGTACCATGAAAAGGATTTAAATTTGTTGCACTAACAAACATTGACCAATCTCCTTTATTTTTGACAAATATATTTTCAGTAATATCAATAGATAATTCAGGTTGCATTTCCTAAAAACCAACAAATTTTGATGACAGCTAATGAATACCAAAATATGATTTACAAAGCTAAGACAGATTCTGCAAAGGTAAAATCTATAAATTCAACCTGTGGTGATATTTGAACAGTTAATGCACCATTTTCACCAAATTCGTTATTATTAATGAAAATATTCCTTCGTATTTTTGTATTTCCACAATTTTCTATACTTACACGCATAACCAAATTGTCATTCTTCCAGAATCGATTTTTTTCAATTAATACATTTGGTACTTTTTTATTTTTTATATTTTTTTGACACTGAAATAGAACATGAATGATTTCAGCAAAGTACTATGCTTTTTCATCAAGCAGTAACTAACTAACTAAGAACTTGTTAAAATTGTTGTTTTCAGTTAGTTAAAAAAAATACAGTAATGCTAACTTTAGTGAACAGGGCAATACTTGGAAGCGCATTGAAAATGAAATTCGAAGTGTTTAGATGAAGTAAAGAGTATGACTTCAAATTAAGTAAAATTCCCGTATCTCCTTTGACTTGCTTTCGAATCGTTAAATTACTCAGTCGAATGGAATCCAGCTCTTTATTTCTGCTTTGGACAAGGCGAATCCCATATAAGCCATTATTTTCTAGCTGAAAACTCTTATTTTCTAAAGTTCTTTTGGCACTTTTCAGAATCTCTACAAAAATTCTATTTCCGCTAGCAGTAAAATATTTTTACAGCTTTTCAGTTCATTTTTAAGCTGTTGTAATATACTTAATTCTTCTTTACTTTATAATATTGAAAATATGATAAATTACATAAATTAATTTAAAAAGTATTCTTACTACAATATTTTGTATAGTGATATTCCCAGCAGGAACCATAATATCTATTCCTGCTTGTGCACTATCCATTATCACGGCATTTCTATAATTTATCTTAATTTGTGTAATCTCTAAGAAATTGAAATTCAAATATTTGATAATAAATTCAAAATACTCTCTAAATAATCTAAACGATTATTGAAAGAATATTTGATGAGAAGTTTTTAGAATACATTTTAGCAATTTAATTAAACATGCTTTAGGTGCTTTCTAAGAATATTTTGAGTCAAAATGTCAAATATTGTGCGAACAAAGTCTTAGTAACTTGTAGTTTCATTTGCATTTCAACCTTTTTTACTAAAAAATATACCTGAGACATATACTACTATTAGTCTCTCGTTCCAAAATTTCAATACCATTTTTATGTGACTGAACGATTCTCGTTTGACCCATATCAAAATCACCGTTATAAATTGTTGTTATTAATATTCCAGATACAATTGGTCGTATAATTTGAATATTTTTAATGTGTATTTGAGATGAACTAATATTTAAAGCAATTACAGCACTTTGCAGAATACAGTAATTTGCATAAAGGGTTCCACCTGAAATTATGGAAAAAATTTAATACTAAATATCAAAAAATCTAGGAAAAATTGTTTGAGCTGATTTTTTTTGCTGTCAATGCTTTGAATCCGCTATTTTGTAATTCGATTCAACAAGAAGTATGAAAATGCTGAAATTTGAATATAATATAAACTTGTATTAAAATTTTGAAAAATAGACTTGAATTTTCAGTTTTTATTTAAATTTATACTTCAAAGCGTTAATTCAACCCCTAATCATTCTTTACTGAATAAATACTTTTACAGTTTTAAAATTAATGCTATGTTTTCAATTTTTCTTTTCTGGCTTCTGCAAGCCATAGATCTTTATTTTTTTTGCAATAAATTGAAGAAAAATTTACGGAACATCAAATCAAAAGATTTGAATACAAAATTGATATTAACTGAAGCATACATACCTGGTTTTAAAATAATACCAAGCCATGACGTGCCACCAAAATTTCTTAGTAAAATTGGATTTTCTCGAACGCCTAGTAAATGCAAAGCTCCTGCATATTCATCTGTTACTGACGTTATATTTTTCACATATTTTTACTTGAATACAATACTTTTATATCTTTCAAATTTTCTGCAAAAATTTAAATCTTGTGAATTAACCTGAAACAATAATTCCATGACCTGGTTTAAATGCTAGCACCGATCCTTCGTGAAATACCGCATTTTCATTCCTCTCTATCTCTACTGATTTATCAAATCTGGAATTTGAATACTTAATCTGCATGTCCGTTTAGTTAAAAGAAAAGCATTAAATGCAGTAATTATCAAAATTTACATTCATTTCAAGTATCAAGCAAATATGCTTTCTATTTTTTATTTTAGCCCTGATAAAGGTAGTACACATTTTTAAAATAGTTGTTCTGCTTCACTGAATTCATTGCAACATTCAAAATAATTAACAGTAAAATGAAATTTAGCGTAGAAATAATATCAAAATTTCAGCCAAATATTATGTATTAATTATGAATAGCAATTAAATAACTACCGCACATTTTTGAAATCAATCTTTGTGGTTTCTTGGTCGAAACTTCTGATAATATATCCACACTCATGTTTAGAAATGGTACTACAACAATTGGGATTAACATCTTGTCCAAACGGCTATCACAAATCCGATCTTCTATCTATGGAGCAAATTGTCAAGTTAAGAGCAAAAAAAATGAAATTTCATTCTCACTTGCTAAACATTTATTTAATTAATTCCTTTATCTGGAATCAGAAATATTCTAAATTTGAAACCATGTGCTAATTTATGTATATAATTTGATAAAAAGTATAGTACTGACTTCTTCCTCATCAACAGAACTCCAGTAATTGTTTCTCGCATCAATTAAATCTTTTGATTGTTTCTGACCTGAACGAAGTTCACATTGAGCCTGTAAACAACTGATTTTAATCAGTGAAAACGATTAAAATTTTGCCTTTTTTCTAACAACACAGCATTAGGTCCAAAAGTTTTTAACAACCGTTAACATTAATTAGATAGAAGTGATTAAAAGTTAAAATTGTCTTCACTTTTATCCTATGTTCCATGTTTTCATATTATCAGAGCAGTTTGTTTATCTTTAAAATTCTAGCAATTCAGCTTTATTTGCAATCAAATGATAAAAAAACAAAATAAATTTTGCAAAATGCAATTTACTTACTTTTGGATTGTCAAAAGTATTCCTAGAAATATTGACAAAATTTGTTGCTAAATATACTGTATCTATAGCCATATTTTCTACAAAAATATTTTTAATGATAGTAATTTTAGCATTTGTTGCTTGAATATGAGGACCAACAATCCGACTAATTTGCAAAATATTTTCCATTGCATTATTTTGCATTCGATTGCCGTATAATCGAACTCGAACATCTAAAATTGGATACAAAAATTAATTTTAATTTTTATTAAACAAATTTAAATTCATTTTTTAGTTATATTTTAGAAAGTTAATCACTAAATTTAATATTAATGAATTGTCATATTTAATTGATTCATTTGATCAATTTAGCTAGAAAAGTAGTAAAATTTTTGAATTATTAGAGTCGAAATATTGAAAAATTGTAATTTTAACACACCTTTGTCGCTTTCAGTCATTCTTATTTGGATAACAGCATTAAGTGCAGAAGTATTGAGGAAAAAATTTCTGTCAAAATTATTGTCCTCGATTAAAATATTTGTTTTTCCCTGAATTTGATCAATAAATATAATTGATCCTCGATTTCGAGTCCAACTGCTTTTTAAAAATAGCAAATCACTATCGATAACTTGCAAAAATGCAATTCCACCAGCATTATTGTTCCATCCATGACAATTGTCTAGCAAAAAATTACTTTGATTAGCGAATTCGACCATAATTACTGTTCTAAAATTGTTATCAGTAAACTTTATTCAATTTCAAGAATGTTAACAAGTAAAATATTTTTAAATGACTGTGATCAGAATCAAAAATAAGCAAATCTTACTCAAAATTATGTGCTTTAAATGTGCTATGAAGAAATTTGAAACGAATTTGCTGACTGCTTGGAATATGCACGCTGTGAAGACCGTTGGAACCGAATGTTGAATCAGTAATTTCTAGTGCTGAATTACTGCTTAAATAGCTCGAAATTCCATTTTTTGTGTTTGCAAAAAATTGACTTGAATTCACAGTGACAAAGAAATTTCCTTGTAGCACTAGACCGTTTGCTTGATTAGAAGCTGACAAGACTTCTTTTAAGATTACCTTTATCTGTAATTCATTTATATTAAAGTAACGAGTTACAATGTTTTTTTGTATTTTTCAAATATTTGCCTTGTAAGCATAATTATGATCGTGAATAAAATAGCATCGTTAAGATTAAAAATATTTATGAAGTTGTCAAAATAATGGATTATAATGCAATATTGAATCGCACACCAGTTGATTAGCTTCAGCACTTATTACTAAACCATTAGCACGGTTGTTGATAGTTGTTATTCTCCTCAATACCCAGTCGAATGGATAATTAGATTCCTTACAAATATGCCATAATCATTTATGAATTAGTCATAACTATTTTATAAATTTTATTAAAAAAAAGACTAAGAATTCATAAACTTATGATACTTAAGCTGACAATTTAGCTACAATAAAATTGCGCAACTTATAAAAAATTCGAAGATATTGGTGAAAATAATATTATGCAAATTTTTTGTACAAAGAAACTCACAATTATTTATACTTGTAAAAAAATAATTTCAATTATAAGAAAACAAAAACAGTCTGAAATGGAATGAAATTTAATTTTAGTTTTTCTTGAAAATCATTACATTGTAATTTTTTTGGATCAAAATTATAAGACCATTGCCATTGCTGTCGCTAATCACATTGTGTATTTTTGGAAGAATAGGTGATTTAATGCATATTCCATTACTACTTCCGGAAATATTTACATAAACAAGTTTTGATTCTTTTGCAACATTTGCTGCAAGAAAATTTTTGTTCACACTGTATGCTTTCATTAACTTTTATGCACAGTATTATTTTTCAAAAAATTTTGAGGGATAAAATTATTTGACAGATAATTTTTTTGAAAAATTCAACTTACCATCAGTAAATATAGCTTGTAAACCATACCAGGTATTATTTATAGGATATAACAATACAGGTTTATTACTTGTACCAACAATTTGCAAAGTACCTAAAAAATCCCCCAACAAATGAATGCAAAACCATTAACTCAAATCATTTTGAAATTGCAATATTAAAAAAATTCCATTGACTAAGGAAGTTTAAAAACAACAAATTTAAACGACATCTAGTAATTTGCAAAAATTTTCATTTTGTTTAACTTACCTAATATAAATAACAAATAATTAGCAAAAGTTAATACTTGTATGAGACATTTTGCATATAAAATTAACAATACCAAATGCTAAAATGCCAGTGTTTGGTGCAAATTGCATATGTGTTCCAGAATGAATTTTCAGAATATCTCCTGCAGCAATGGTAATGTTTTTTAAAATCTGATGAGGTGAACTTTGCGCCCTGAATTCGAGAGTATTACTAATTTGCATACTTCTTTTCACTCTTCCATGTCTTTCTTGCACCAAAAATCGCTCATTATGATGTTTTCTACGCTTACGTAAGATTTTTCCATTTGCTTGTGTGCACGTGTGTACTTTCTTCCTAAAGTCAAAAACTTTTAAAGCTTTCAAGATTTATGTTTAAATTTCAGCTTGACTATTATTAAAAATTTCAGACAATTGAATGGGATAAAATAAATTTGCAACTAATTATTTGTAGGACTCAATTAAATTAATGAAATACTAATAAAGACAAAAATATGTAATTACTAACCAATTGAAATGTAATAAAAACTGTATTAATTGAGTTAAATTTTTTAATTCATATACCTTAAAAAATTTGATAAATTAAATAGCTAAATTTACGGAATTCTTTTCTCTTCTAAATTTGTGTTATTGCAAGATTTCACTCCGACATCGATGATTCTGTAACCTCTACGGGTGACAACCACGAAAACTTGTGCATAGATTGGAAAATGAAGTGTAAATTCATTGCCACTACTGATGTAATGCGTGAGATACCAAGCTGTATCGTTTTCACAAACTTTGTAGATAAGTTCCCTTCAAATTAATTTAATGTTTTTAAGAGAAACAATCATATTTAGCAAACTAAAACTATACTTTTTGATCTTTTGGAAAAAAAATACAAAAATAGAAATTTGATACTATACTGAACATGCATATTTTTAATATCGGAAATTGATTAGGCATAATCAAGCTTACACTTCTTCAGCCCCAGTTAACGTAGTCAAGCTGTCTACAGTTATTGAAGCAATGCAACGAGGGCTACGGAAAGTTAATTTTGTAAAGCTGCCCATGAAGGGTTCCCCTGCAAAATTAATAGTATTATATTTAACAATTAATTTTATGATTGTATAAGTGGACCACAACTGTATGTAAAATCAGCAAATCAGCTACAGAAAATTATTAAGTCATTTACGTTTATTTATTAAATATAGTACAATAGTACTGAGTTTAGTTTGTTAAATATTTTATATCAAAAGAGTAAACTTACTGCCATCGACATTTATCATTTTACGTCCAGTTTCTACTCGTACAATTACTGTGCAATTTATTAATTTCACTGCAAAAATTAATAATAATACATTGTACAAAAGCTTTAAGTACAATGTATGAAATAAAAATTAGTGAACAAATTTTGTTCACAAACTTTAATTTTTACAAAAATCTTAAACTAATTTAAAGTATTACTTCAAAGAAACACTTTGTTAATCAGAAAAAAAAATTAAAATTACATTTAAAATTTAAGAACCATAATTTAAAAAATTATAAGAAAATAATAAAAATATCAATAAAATAAAGAATGAATATTTAATTCAAAGTGTAGTTTATATTTTTTATGTGTTGTTTGGCATGAATAGCTAACTTTTCAGACTTCTATTTAAGCGTTTAAGAAAAGATCATAAAATCAGCGAATACAAAATCATAAAATGCAGCGCTGGTAAATGTGTAATTTCAAAAATTGCATCCTTGCGTGATAACAATTTTTGCACTGTTTTAGAATCCATAAATTTATATCTTCAAAAATTAATATCACTTTTTATTAATTAAATATATAAGGCTAAAACGATGAAATAAACAAAATTGATGAGAAATAAAGTTCGAAAAGCTTACCAAAAAGTAATCCAAGTATGACTATTAGTTGCATACTTTGCATTATTTTGACAAAAAGTATGCTTGGTTTCTCAGCGTAAAATAGCTTTTATTAAAAAATTATTCTATGCGCAAGCATAACAAAGCCTATTTTGAGGATTAAAACTAATGCAGCACTTGGCAACAGCAACGATCTAAAAATAATTAATTATGCGATTATAAATTTTACTCATTTTCCGTGTAAAATAAATCAATCACGCCAATTATAAAAATTATTATGTATTATCTTCAAAATTTTCAATTGCAAAAAAGCAACTGCAAAAAGAATATTTTGCTTGCTTATGATTTGAGTTATCACGGAGGATACGTGTCTTCTTCATTACTAAATGCTGATATCGGCGGGAAGGAATGCTTAAATTATCCACAACATTTATTTAATTTTGCTTGCTGTGGAGAGTGTTTGACATATTAAGGCACTTTTAGTGAGATTCAGGAAATATTGCTCATACTTTGTGAAAAATTTTGACTTCCAAATTGATTTGAGAGTTAAAAAACATCTTTTTAAGCCTCGCAAATTTAAAAAAAATAGACAATAAAATGGGATGAAATTTGAATGAGAAATCCAAAAGATTTCGGAACCAAATCTATGACCTTTTGAGTCTTTAATTCCGTAATCAAATCTGTGACCTTTTGAGCTTTTGGGTTTAGTAATCAAGTCTCTGACTTTTTGAATTTCTGATTTCAGAAAGAAGTTGCCAACTTTTAGAGTAAAAGAAAAGTCAGATAGAGAAAAAGTAAAAGCAAAATTTTTACGTAATTTTCACGGACAAGTTTTTGTGCGTGAAAAAAAATGAAAAAAGTAAAGATGCTTGAATATAATTTGTAAGGTAAATTGTATTTTTTTTTTAAAAATTTTTAAGTTTAAATTAAAACCAATCAGTACGTATACAGGCAAAAAAAACCTTAATTGTTGAAGTAAATTTAATTGTAAACTTGCAACAATCTTCCAGCGTGAAAGACTGAGTTCAAAAATTAAATCAAAAATCACTTAAACCTAATATTTAATTTACCATACGAAAAAGAACAATATTATATTTTTTCGATTTTAATAATCAAAAAGTGAAATATAAGTCATTTACGTCAAATTCTCCTTTGAAATGTTCAATTTTTTTGAATTAGCACATTAATAATAATTGCTAATTTTATTTCTTATCCTATTTTCGCCTTAATGCTGTGAATAATATTTGAAATATACTTCTGAAAAACTGCAAAAATTTTCAATTTATGCAGTAAAAAGATTCCAAAGTCAACGTCCATGAAACTTTATCGTTTGGGAAAAGTAGACTGATTCTCTTCATTACAGAATCCATTTCAACTAAAAGTAGATTCTCTTCATTACAGTACCCATTTCAACTATGCAAGAAAAAGCATTTTCTTTAATAAAAATCCAAACGAAATAATATTTATTTGCAACATAATTTTTTTCACAATTGCTTCAGATGTACATTTTGCTCTACGCCTTGAAATATTTCAAGTAAGATTAGTACAAATATTAGTATATTTTTGAGGCAGAAAACGAAATTAAAGTTGAAACTACAAAATTTAATACGTGAACGCCTTAATACGTGAACTTTTAGGATGCGTTCGTTTAAAATATCATAGTGAAAATAAACTTATATTTATATTTAAGTAGGAGAAATGAAAAATGAGCGAGAGGCCAATCAAATTGTCCATTTTCCTATTAAGGACAGCAATGCGTTCAGTGACATTTCAAATTTCATGACAACGAGCATGAAAATGGATAGTTAGAAGTAAAGTGACGCGTTGCCAGGGTATCCAAGCTACGTTTAGTTTACCTCTTAGACTAGTCAAGTAAATCAATAAATCTTAAGAACCTTAAGTAAGTGAAAAAGCAAATTGTTTTAAAGACCGACTAAGTAAGCAGACATTTTAACATTTTATTGGAAGCAAACTTAAAATTTATAAAAAAGCCTTCAAAAACGATTTACTTTCCTAAAATATATCTTTTCATTTTTCAAACTTTCCAATCTTCAAAAAGTGGTAAAAGTATGCTAAAAATTGTACTGCTTGGTCAATAAGGCTCATTTTTTTAAATCTTAGAAATATATATAGCAAAAACAATTAGTGTAATGAGATAACATATAGATATTGTCTAATTACTGCTACGATATTATGCAAATTTGTTATTACAAGCAGAATATTTTAAATAAATAATTTTAATCTTTCAAATATCAATCGATTGAAAGATGGATACAACACAAAAATTATCAGCAAGGTTACAAAATAAACTTTATCAATCAAACTCAGAAATTATAACACTCAAATATTATCTTACAATTTAGCTTGAATATTAGCTTGATTTTATTTAGAAAAAAAAGGTACTATCGAATGACATTATAGGCACATTGGATAAAAAATCTAAGTAAAATCTAAGTAAGGATAAAAAATCTCGGTAACTGATTTTAATCAAAAAAGATCACTCTTTAAGAATTAAAGAGTGATTTTCTTTGATTAAAATTAAAATGAATTACCTTAATTGATAATTTTTTATGTGATCTATATTTGGTATACTTTTGCGCCACTGATTATTGCATTCTTTATTTTTTGTTTAATACTTGAATTGGTCTCAACATAGATAGCTTTTTCTAGCTAAAGCAAAAAAAATTTGAGCATAATCTAAAGAGCACTTAACTTAACTTTTGCGTCGTACTGAACAATTTGAAGAAAGTTCCAAAACTTTTGTTTAAACTATAAAAGTGAGTTTGCTCAAGTTGTCTGACACTTTCCTACTATATTTTTTAATTTTTAAACTTGGACTTAAATTTTTTTTTAAAAGAAAATCTGTTTACATTTATTTGCATTTATTTTCATAATAATTTAAGCTAAATAAGCAGAAGATTTTATATTTTAATTTTGATTTATAATTTTAAGACGAAAAAATATATTTTTTGCACTCTCAATAGCAATTATTAGCTGATTAAAAAAGTGATAGTTAAAAATTATTAACAGTTTACAGTTGATCATATCAGCAAATAATTTTATATTTACAATTTTATTTGTTATTTTTAAATTTGTAAAAGTATATTTGAGAAGAAAACTTTGATTTGATATTTACAAAAAAGTTATGTGGCATAAATTTAACACATTTATCGGTCAAGTAAAGAAATGTCATTTTTTAAACTACTAGCAAGTGTGGAAGAAGAAGTCAAAAGGGAATGAAGCTAAGCATTTGCAATGGACAAACAAGCTAAAAGGGTGAAATTTATGCTTGAATATGTCCTTGTATGATAAATTAGATTATTTAAGAATATGAAAATTTTGGAACGTTTCCACATTTTAAATTTTTTTCTGCAAGTTGTAAAAAATCTTGCTCTGCTTAACAAAATATCAGTAGCAAACTGTTACAATTTTCTTATGCTATACTTTACTTAACATTTTAACAGAACTTATATATAGTGTTAATTGTTGGATTAAATAATGCGAGGCATCGATCAAATATTGTAACAAGTTTTGCACTAATTCCCGGGATCTCCCAGTGGCTCTCTCTCTCATTTGTCTCATTAACAGCATGGGATGAATAGACAGGAGAAAAAGACTGTGGCAAAAAGGTTGGAAACCAAAATGTAAAATGCCTTGTTGTCTTACAGTCAGGATATCAGAAATCTGAGAAGAAATTGGAGGATGAATGGAGAAAAACCGTATCTGGAATCATAACAGAAAACAGTGAGAAAGCAGATGATGCTGTGAGAAACTCCATGAAAGATGTGAGAGAGTACTTTGCCAGCTTACCGGAACCAGCAACCAGAAACCAGCAAGATGACTACGCTTGAAGTACTTATTCGAGGAATCGAGATTTCACAAGACAGCTGGTCAGGAAATACAAGAAATTTTTAACACTTTTATTTTAAAAATTCTCAAGTTTGAACAGTTTACGTTGATTTGATATGATTAAAAAAACTACACATTTAATTATACTTCAAAAGTTTTAAAGTCAAATCTAAACTATTTCAATTTCTATTTCAATTTCAAATTGCTTGGACAAGCCAATTTGAAAATCTGTCAGGAGAAATTTTCTATTTATTGAAACGTCTGAAAATTGACGAATTCAATTAGTTTAAAAATAAACGTCCTCAATTACATTTTTTGTTTATTTTGAAAAAACGCTTCGAATAACTTTGGTTTTGTTAAATTATTTATAACTTTTGTGGAATACTTTTTGAATGAATTATATTTTGATAAAAGTATGAGATAATTTTCAAGTCTAAAATTGTTTAAAACAGTTTCAGTCTGATGAAAGAAATTATAATTCATTGATATAATTTTATGAAAGCATTCACGCGCTTGCGAAGCCATTCTGTTCAAGAGGTCGTCACGAATGCAAATGTTGAAATCAGAGCGAATGAGAATTGCAATCAGAATACAAGCGGATCGACTGGATATCATGAT